TTAAAATCCTTTTTCAGAAAAAGGAGAGATAGTGAAAAAATTGGTGGAAGAGTCAGGCAACAATTCATGGGTGTGATTTGCAGGGGCAGAGATTTAGCATGAGGGAAGAAAGAACATTCCAGAAAAATAGAGCAAAGAGCACAACGGCAAGGGGGCAGGGAGGCCCAGGGGTTGGGGAACTGAGAGAGGTCTGGTTGGCTGGAGTACTGGGCATGAGGGGCACTAGGAGGCAAGACTGAAAACCTGGGCTGAACACAGACTGTAGAAGGTCTGAAATGTCATGATAAGGAGTCAGGACTTTATTCTGTAGGAATTTAGTCATTGAAAGTTTTGAGCAGAGGAGTGAAATGAACAGTCATGTCAATTTCCCCTGCAAGTTGTTTCCTAAATTCATTTCTTTCCATTCCTACTACTGCCACTGTCCTTGAAGCCTATATCACCTCACTCCATTTGACCCGAATACAGGTGGTCTCACTGCCTCTAACCTCCTTCTCTTCTTATCCAACCAGAATTCTGTCTTTATATTTCTCTTCACAAAAAAATATCAAGGACCCCACATCCAAGTCCAAGCGCCTTAATTTTAGCTTCGGAGCTCTCCTTAATCTGATTATATCTTTGCAACATTATTTCCTACATCTGCTTCAAGCCAACCCTTCTTTCTTGTCAGGTCAGTATCTTCTTGGTTTCCCAAACATGCCCATTTCTATCTTTTATCTCTTTGCTCAGACTGCCTAGATCCTCTCTCCTGCTGAGACTAGGACTATGGCATTTATCTTTCAAGTCACAAAAGATTCTCATCTTTATAAAAAAGCTTCCCTAAACCCAGCTCACATTGACTCTCCCTCATCTGAACCCCAAGTTCTTAGTGTCTGTTCCAGGACACATAATCATATTCTTTCTCGTATTTGTATCTAAGTGTACCTCAATCATACGTCGCCTATCCAGAAAGGATGGAAGTCCTCCCAGGGCCCAGGACCAGGTCTTTTCCTGCACTTTTCCCCCTCACAGTAAAGTCTACTAGTGGGACTTAAGAGAATGTTCCAGGATCTTGGGAGGTAGCCTTAGTAATGAGAAAAGAGTCACAAAAGTGGGGAAGTAAGGAAGAATGATAGGAGACCCAAAAAGCCTCTGTTAATTTCACTCTTGTAGCTCATAATTCCTGCCCTGTTTCTGGGGTTTCTGTGGGTCTTATGACAGAGAATCTCCAAAGAAGTTTCCTTTCCCCCTCCTCCACTTTTGGCGCAAATGATACCTGAAAGGCCTCTCTGAGGGCCTGGGCCTGTTCCCGGGTGCGATTGTCCTGCCAGGGCCGGCCTGTAGAGCGTGTGGGGCCTGCACGAAGACTCTCCCCAAAGACGTCCAGGTAAAAGAAGACATAATCCCCATTGGTCAGGTTCTCCCTCTGGGCCTGGAGCAGGATCTCATGCAGCATCTCCAGAGGGCCACAGATATACACAACTGGGAACGAGTATAAAACAGAGGAGCATTCTGAGAAAGTCCCCAGTCCCCAGGCAGCCCCCTCTCTGAACCATCTGCATTTCCATCTTCAGCAAGGAAGAAAGTGCCCTAACCTATCAACCACCCAACATATGCTCCCCATCCCTCCCCCTTGGAGTCTATGTCATAAGTACCTTGGGGCTTTATGGACCATCTGGCAGAGGTCAGAGTCTGACTCCAGACCCCAGAGGAAGGGAGCTATCAGCCTTTAAGCCCCTCCTCTTCCCAGAGCTCTGACTGCTGCGCCCCACCCAGCCCTCCTCACTGCCCCATTCGGCCCTGCCTCTCCCTAGGCTCAAAGGCACTGACTGCTCAAAATTACTGTCAGTGGCAGTTTTACTCTGTCTTTCCCCAACAAATGCGCTGAATCCAAAAGCCCATTTATGGAGTCCTTACTATTTTTCTGCCCTGTCTTGGTGCCCCGTCTGAGAAGTCTCTGCTCACAGATGACACTCATTCTGGAGTGGCCATCAACCACATCCAGTACTCTAGGGCACTTGTATTGCTCCCGAAAGTCAGTTTCCCCCCAATCCCACCTTCTTCTCTGACACAGGCGCCACCTCTCATGCTATCTTATTCCTTGTTTATATCTGCCTATGCTGTCCACAAGCTCCCCTAATACAACGGCTTAGCCTTCTCACAGGTGCTCTCTCCACATGTGCTTCTTGACCCCAACCACCACATACATCTCAGTGCCCACCTCCATCCACAGTTTCCCAGTGCTGAGCTGCAGGGATACAGCGACCCTCCTCCCCTGACCCTAAGATAGCCTGGGCCACACTCACTGCGCCCGTTGGCCCGGATGAAGTGGGTGGCCTGCTCAGGGCCCCCTGGCTCACGGGCATACACCTGGTGCTGCACACTGAGGTTGCTGCCCTGCAGGGCCTCAAAGACGCCCTCGATGGTGAAGTAGTGAGGCCGGTCATCTGTGCGAGCATCCAGATACAGCAAGGCAGCACGGGCAGTCCAATTGAAGTGCCCGTGTAATGTCACTACAAACTCACCCAGCTTGGGAGCAGAGGGGCCAGTGCGCACCAGAGTACGATAATGCTCATTCTTAGCTGCAAAACCAGAGGCCACAGCACCCGCAGTCAGCAGGGGAAGGCGCCAATGTGAGGCAAAGCGGGCCACAGAGGCAGCGGGGTACACGCAACCGGGACCCAACAGAAGATCGGGGTCGTGGTACAGCTTGAGGTCCACAGCGCGCAGCGGTGCCAGGTACTCAGAGCAGGCGCCATCTAGTTCCGAGCTGACAAACCTCAGGTCCACAGGCAGTGCCCGGCCCAGCGCCTCCACAGCTAGTGCCACAGCAGGACCCACCCGTGGCCAGGCCCAGGCATAGCTCAGGTTGTGTTCTGGCAGCACCACCGCCAGAGTCAGGTTCCGCGCCCCCGGAGGACGCACCCCACCTGCCAGGGCTGCCACCAACAGCAGGAGTGATGGCAGTGCCATAGGGAGAAAGCAGCGGCCCCACCACCCCCAGAACCCGGTGCCACTCTGGCCTACAGAGGAGGCACAAGCACCACCCAGCCTGGAACCTGGGGAAGATGGCCAGGGAGAGAAGTGAGGAGAAGCTAGGCAGGCTGCGACACAGAAAGTGGTGGGGACGGGTGAAGAGGAGATGGGAGGAAGCCCCGGGGGTTGGGTAAGGAGTGGGTCCACCGGTCTCGGGCAAGGACTGAGGGCTGAGTAGGGTGGCAGGAGAAGGTAGGGACCAAGGGGGCCTGTGACTGGGATGGGGACAGTGAGAGGCGAAGGAGCCTGATGAATCTTGAGCTTTAGCTGAGAAGGAAAAGGGGATCCGAGACTGGGATGGGGTGGGGGTGGGGGGGAGGCTGGTACAAAGGAAAGGCCTGAGGGGACCTCACAGCTGAAGGGGCTAGGAGGGCTGAGAGCTGCGAAAAGGAGGACCAAGGGGGTAAGGTGGGAGGGGGCCCGCGCCGCGGAAGGACCGGGACCATGGGCGGGCGGGGAGCGAAGCGAGGCCTGGGCTGGAGCAGAGGGAAAGGCAGGGGTAAATCTCCCAGTGAAGGCTTCTCCTGAAGCTCCTGCTTGGACTAACGGGCCCAGGGCGCTGGTCCCATCCGGAGCTGCGGCGGCCCCGCCCGTGTCCCAGCTCCTCTCTGCTCCGCTCCTCCTGGGCCCGGGCGGCCGGCGCTGCCGGGCGCTTCCTCCCGCCCCCCGCCTGGGCCCCCGGGCGCGCCGCTTGTCCAGGTCAGGTCGCCGCGGCCCGGCCCGTCTCTGCTCGCTGCGCCGGCGGCGGCGGCCGAGTGTGACTCCCCGGGCAGGCCGCCCGCCCCCGCCCCCGCGCCCGCCCCCCGCCGGGGCGCCGGCCCGCCCCCCCCTCCCCGGCTCGGGCCCCTCAGGCCCCACCCTCTGGCGCCTGCTGTCTCCCCCCACCCCCTACCCTGGCGCCCAGGGACATCCCGGGTCTCAAACCCACCCAGTGACAACTCGGGGGCTCCGCGCCAGGGGCTCTCAGGCCGGTGAGGTTCCTGGTCGTCCTCTCACTTTATGGGCCCAGCCCTGTCTCCCCCAAGCCCCTGACCCACCCCGCCACTGTCTCTCCATCTTGCACATTGCCAAGAGCCCAGAACTTCTCCTCTCCCCACTTGCGTATCCCGCTGTTCTTAGGGTCCCCTCTCTTAACTCCCCTGAGTCCCTCCAACACTCCAGTCTCCAGGAAGCAGTCAGGAATCCCCAAATATTTGGTATCCTCACTAGTCCTCCACCTAGTAAATCATAGCACCCTTCCCATTGCCAGGAACCTCTCCCTCCTTCAACAGGAAGAGGTGTCTGCCACCTGGAAGACTGGCCCCTCCAGGACCAAGGGGCTCCAATGCCTGGTTTTTCCTGAGTCCTTACAAGTCCATGGGTCTCCTTCTTCCTTAGAACTCAGCCCCCCACCCTCCCTCTTCCTTCCCCATGCTCCCTTCTGTGCCCTCCCATGTCTTCAGAGGCCCACCATAGCCCACTGGGCCTCTACCACACCATCTGCTCCAGGGACCCAGCCCAGGAACAGCCTCTTCTCTTCTGTCTCCCTGCACAGCCCAGGATTGCACCTGATAACAGCTCATGGACTGACTGAGCAGAACATTCCCCCAGCAATGCAAGCCCATTGTATCCCCCTTGGGTTCCACCCCGCTCCTAAGCCTCCAGCCTAGAAGGCTATCCCCAGATACCCTGTATCTGGCGTGCCAATCTGATCCTGAGAATAGCTTAAGAGGGATGATACCATGGTTGCTGGGAGGGGACTGCTATGGGACCCTGGGGAGTTTCTCTCAAACTATCATAAAGGAGATACATATAAACCCATTCTCCTTCAGAGAGCCACAGTTTCTCTCCCCCTTCAAGCCTCTTCTCCAGAAATCACCGTGCCTAGAAGCTGAGCGCTCCTAGAGTAGAGGGAGGGGTGTAGGTGTGCAGGGAGAGAGGAGGGGCCTACTTTCTCTGAGATGAAGGCGACACCTAGTGGTTTCGGGGGGAAATTAAGGACAATGCCATTTTATTCTTAGGTATATTTCTTTATTGAACACTGGCTGACTTGCACAGCAGTAAGGGTGAATACAAGAAAAGGTGAATAATACAGCCCTTACCTTTGAGGAGCATGTAGCTGGAATCCATGTCAAAGGCAAGACCCCCGACAACATCTCTTGCCCCAAGTCCAGTAGAAATAGCAGCCTTAGGACTTCTTCAACACAGAGGTATGGTAATTTCAAATCCAGCTCCCAACGGCTAGTAAAAAGGGATTTTGTCCTATCTGAGCAAGAAAGCAAAGGATAAAAAAGTCAAAAGGGGATAACCTGAAAAGACATGGTTCTAACTTCAGACCATGTCAACCAAATAATACGTTGTAAACAACTACACACAGCTTAATAAGGAGAACAAATCCAAAATGACACAATATCTGCCAGTATCTGTGAATTTCAGGGACATGAGGAATCTTACAAATATATTGTTCAATTCCCTCATTTAAAGATAACTGGAAACTGGCGTCCAAGGCCAGCTCAGTCAGTAGAGCATAGGACTCTTGATCTAGGTGTTCTGAGTTCAAGCCCCATGTTGGCTATAGAGCCTACTAAAAAAAAATAATAATAATAACAACAGAAAACTAAGTCCCAGAGAAGGAGACCACTCCCCCCCAACCCTAAATGGCTTTTTAATAGTAGAGACTGGAATCCAAGTAAGGCTCTGTATAGATATTCTCAAAGATGGGGCTCTGTACAAATACCCTGCTAACTCATGAACTTAGCACATGAAGCTGTGCTTATAGGGTAATGGCCACCAAAGACCCAGACAGGTCTCTCTGGAACACCTACAGACCCCAGTAATGACCAACACCACTATTGCCCAGACTCCCAGACAAGTTCAAGTACATGATATGTCATTATTCTGAATATTAACGACAACTGTAAGTTATGTTAGGGGTTAAACTTTCAATCATCTTGCCCTTTCCTTCCTCCTTCCAACTGGCCACTAATACTAGAAAGTGGGAAAGGGCAGGAAAATAAAAGTTAATTACTTAATGTAGTTTCGTATTAACATCCAGTAAAAGGTTTTGCTTGTTTTTTCTTTTTGAGGGTAGGCTGAAAGTACTATGTAAATGAGAACTTTGGTTATCTATATATTCCCATTATCCAAGCAATCACTGCTCTCATTGATGTGGACAATAAGATTTGGGCTGGAGGCGCCTGGGTGGCGCAGTCAGTTAAGCGTCCGACTTCAGCCAGGTCACGATCTCGCGGTCCGGGAGTTCGAGCCCCGCGTCGGGCTCTGGGCTGATGGCTCAGAGCCTGGAGCCTGTTTCCGATTCTGTGTGTCTTCCTCTCTCTCTGCCCCTCCCCCATTCATGCTCTGTCTCTCTCTGTCCCAAAAATAAATAAACGTTGAAAAAAAAATTTAAAAAAAAAAAAAAGATTTGGGCTGTATTTGGTGACCCCATTGTAATTCATACAAAACCTGAGAAATCTAAAGACCCTCCTGGCCTGAGCAGCACGCAGTAGGGTCCATCTTTCTCTCTGTAGGGTTGGTATGGCCTCCTACTACTTCACAGACACCACTTATCATTTCTTCTAGGATAGGGCCAGCCCAAACACCTCATTTCTGACCCAGAACTAAACTGTTGAGCATCAAATCAGCTAGCTGCTATAAGCCGCTGTGGTTCCCAAGCTGCCCTGTTCCTTAGTGGAAAGAAGTCCTACCTCCAATCACACTCAGGCTCAAGACCCTTGCTGGGTTTTGGGACCACCCATGGGATCCAGGCTCATGCTAATCCACTCCATGGCAGGGCCTGATGCTCCAAACTGACTTCCAGTTCAGCACTGACCAGTTTTACAATTTACCTGGTTTCACAGCTAACTCTGAACCCTCAGGTTTGCCCCCCACCAGACCATGCCTCCAGACCTAGAGGATTCCAGCAAAACAAAAAGCAAAACAAAAAACCAAAAAATCCCACACACCTTCCAGTCTTCTCTCTGCTTGACTGATCTGACCTGCAAAAAAAGAACTTTAACTATATGTGATTCTCTCTTGCACACAAGACAGACAGGTCCAAAGGAACCTGCCAACAGAGGGCAGGGAACAGCCACGGAAAGCAAGATAAAATAAGGCAGAAAAGATACATTTCATATGCAGCATTTCAGTAAAGGGAAAGGAGGAAGCAGTGTAAAAAGAGAAACACAATGAAACATATTGAAGCAAAGAAAGAGTTTATAAAAATTCTGCATTATTTCTTTTAGCCCCAGTGGGAGAGACAGAATCCTGAAAACAGGTCAAACTCCAGTTCACCTTCTCATAATATTCAATATCCTCAAAGAGGAGCTATTATTGTTTAAAAGGTCAAAGGTTTATACTTTGAGTTCACACATCATTTTCTTCTATAAGTTAAAAAGGTTTTAAATTTAAAATATTTTCAGATCAGATCCCTGCTTCTAACTTACCTGTCTATGTATGTATTTGGAAAGTTGAACTGGACCATATCCTGAGGGCCAGAAATACTGGTTTTGTGAAAAGACAGTCCATGGGTAGTTCTATGGATTCCTAAAAAGAAGTTGAAGAATCGTCAGGAGAAGCAACTGCATATGATTCAAGTTCCAGGTGAACCTTTTTTTTTTTACTTGTCTGCTCCATCAAAGCCTAGACCAGCACATGTATGCATGACCAGTGGTGTCCATTGTTCTTCCTCACTTAGCCTGTTTCCCAGGTACATTTACTGCTTCTCTATGTTCCTAATACCACCCTTCACCATTATTACCAACCCCGGTAATTACTTACCACCCCTTGGGAGTATCTGATAGCCTAAAGTCTCATATAGAATATTCTCGGTTATATTTCCTTCTCCACTCCATTTAAAAGTCTACTTTTTGGGGGGGGGGGCGCCTGGGTGGCTCAATTGGTTAAGCATCAGACTTTGGCTCAGGTCACGATCTCACCGGTTTGTGAGTTCGAGCCCCATGTCCAGCTCTGTGCTGACAGTTCAGAGCCTGGAGCCTGCTTTGGGTTCTGTGTGTCATTCTCTCTCTGCCCCTCCCCCACTTGTGCCGTGTCTCTCTTTGTCTCTCAAAAATAAATAAACGTAAAAAAAATTTTTTTTAAGTCTACGTTTTTTTCACAGAATCTTTCACTGAGAAAAAGAGGCCTATTTTCCCTCACCCACAAATATGTCACATAAAAAGAAGCAAAGGAAAGATGATCACAACAGCTTCTAGAGAATGGAAATGTATTCATCACTTCTTTAATCTTTTGCTCTATTTAGAATTTCCCAGAGAAGCCACAGACTGGGAAGAGGAGGAGAAATCTGAAGCAAGATCTGACCAAACTGTACTCTTTTCTGTGCATGGCTGCAATATGTCATGAAAAAACAAAGAAGTAGCTAGCTGTGGCAATGTAGGCAGACTAAAAGCAGGAAGACCATTCTGAGGCTCCTGGAGAAATTGGAGAATGAAATGCTAAGTGCCTTATCTAGGATGATGGAATAGTAATGGAGAGAGAGAAACAAATATGAGATAATATGAAGGAAGAAACAGCAGGACTTGGTGGCAGCCTAGGTCTACAGGATGAAGAGGAAGGAGTCAAAGGTTACCCTAAGGCAGGGGTCACACAGGCAAAGGGCAGGTGGAAAATGCCAATGTGAGAAGCAGCTGAATGGGGAGGAAGCCCCATGAAACCCCAGCTCCAACTAAAGTGGATGCCCCCACCCTGGGATGGAGCCCAGAGCTGCCGGCTGTTACAGTTTTCCCTCTGGACTGTTTGAACAGCCTCTGTGACAAGTCTCTGGGCCTCCGGTCTCACCTCCCTCCAAGCCATCCTCCACAATGTGTTTGGATGCCAAAGTGGCCTTTTGAAACAAAAACCTAATTATGTCACTTCCCTACTTAAAATCCTTAAATGGTTCCCCATGGAAAATGTGTTTTTCAAACTGTTATTTTTAGCAGCAAAACCCTTCTTCAAATAAAAATGCAAATGTAAAACGGAAGCAAAGCCCAGCTGCCCAGATGAAGTAGTAGTGGCAGGCCCAGAAACCAGTGCCCCCTGCCCTCAGTGCCTTCTCAGACCGGGCCGCCAAGCCTCTGAACCTCTACCCTTCAGACAAGGGGAGCACAGATTTTCCACAGTGTACGTAGGTAAGGTGGTTTCAAGGAATCAATTTCCAGATCGTCGTCTTCCTTCCTAAAATGGACCTGCCAAAGAATGACCTTGTGCTCACACAATCCTCCTGCTTTATAAAAGACAGGCATGTCCCTCGCTCATGCCAAATCTAATTATGATGAATTGTTCTAGGGTGTGAAAACTGCTGGGACACCAAGCAAAGGGATATATAAATAAAGATATTGATCTAGGCAAACTTTTAAAGATTAATCAAGGTGCCTTAAACTAATAGGGCTTCCTGCCTTTTCCCACCATATACATATTTCTGTTAAGGGTATAACAACATTGGAAATGGCACATTTAGCCCATGCTGGGATTCTCTACAATCAGCACAGACAAAAGAGGATACATTAGTGACCTATTTTGTCTTAAAAGTAACTGGAATACACTTAAAATAGCCAGATTTTACTGTATATAAATTATACCCTAATAACTTGACTTAAACCAAAAAAAGTAGCTGGAAAGTTCTGCAGGCCACCAAAAAATTCAGATACACTAGGGGCACCTGGGTGGCTCAGTTGGTTGTGTCCAACTCTTGATTTTGGCTCAGTCATGATCTCACAGTTCGTGAGTTCAAGCCCTGCATTGGGCTCTGTGCTGACAGCGTGGAGTATGCTTCGGATTCTCTGTCTCCCTCTCTCTCTTTCAAAAATAAATACATAAACATTAAAAAAATTCAAATACACTAAATAAAAACCATGGATAAAGTTAAGTAACTTATTTAGTATTTAGTGTGCTTTATTTACAAGATAGCTACAAATCTTACTTACAAATCATCATGAAATATTTGTTCCAATTACAGTCAATCCTCAGTTTATTCCAACTTATAAAATGATCAATATATTCTATCTCCTATTAACAATACATAAAGGCACCTGGGTGGCTCAGTCAGTTAAGCATCCAACTTCAGCTCAGGTGATAATCTTGCAGTTCGTGGGTTTGAGCCCCACATCAGGCTCCGTGCTGGCAATGCTTGGGATTCTCTCTCTCCTCTCTCTCCTGCCCCCTCCCACTCACACTGTCTCTCTCTCTCTCTCTCTCTCTCTCTCTCTCTCTCTCTCTCTCAAAATAAATAAATAAACTTAAAGAGAGAGAGAAGCTTGGGTAATAAATATGAGATTTCAACTTAAAAAATTGTGTGAGTAGGTTATTATTATTTTAGGGAGCTCATGAGCAAAGAAAAGTTGGAGGTCTGTGGCTCAAAATAACACTTTGAAGGGTGCCTGGCTGGCCCAGTCTGTAGAATGTGTGACTCTTGATCTCAGGGTTGTGAGTTCAAGCCCCACATTGGGTATAGAGCTACTTAAATTAAATAAGGGGTCCCTGGGTGGCTCAGTCAGTTGAATGTTAAACTCTTTTTTTTTTTTTAATATTTATTTATTTTTAAGGAGAGAGAGAGAGACAGAGTGTGAGCGGGAAGGGGCAGAAAGAGAGGGAGACACAGAATCCAAAGCAGGCTCCAGGCTCTGAGCTGTCAGCAGAAAGCCTGATGCAAGGCTCGAACTCACAAGCCATGAGATCATTATCTGAGTCAAAGGCGCTCCAGTTGAGCGTCCAACTATTGATTTCAGCTCAGGTCATTATCTCACAGTTTCATGAGCTCGATCAAGCCCCCTGTCAGGCTCTGCACTGATAGCGTGGAGCCTGCTTGAGATTCTCCCTCTCTCTCTCTGCTCCTCCCCTGCTCGCATTCTCTCTGTCTCTCAAAATAAATAAACTTTAAACACTTTTTTAAATTAAATAAAAAATAATAAAATAAAATAAAATAACATTTGAAAATCAATGGTTACATTAGTGACTCCCAATCCTACCAGATGTTAGTCTCCCTTATGCTAACAATTTTTTTTAATTTTTTAATGTTTATTTATTTTGAGAGAGACAGAGACAGAGTGTGAGTGGGGGAGGGACAGAGTGAGGGAGACACAGAATCCAAAGCAGGCTCTAGGCTCCAGGCTCTGAGCTCTCAGTACAGAGCCTGATGAGAACCTCAAACTCACGAGCCCCAAGATCATGACCTGCTGAAGTCAGAAGTTTAACTGACTGAGCCACCCAGGTGCCCCATCCCTTCTGCTAATAAATATTTTAAATAACAGCACCTTTGGGGCGCCTGGGTGGCGCAGTCGGTTAAGCGTCCGACTTCAGCCAGGTCATGATCTCGCGGTCCGGGAGTTCGAGCCCCGCGTCGGGCTCTGGGCTGATGGCTCAGAGCCTGGAGCCTGTTTCCGATTCTGTGTCTCCCTCTCTCTCTGCCCCTCCCCCGTTCATGCTCTGTCTCTCTCTGTCCCAAAAATAAATAAACGTTGAAAAAAAATTTTTTTTTAAAAATAAATAAATAACAGCACCTTTACTAACTAAAATGAAATTCATAGATAATGTAAGCTATCTATACACATAATTTCAAAACATCAATAAAATGTCCTAACTATAATATAAAACAGAAATAAAAGACAATAGCTGGTGGTAAAAGAATAGGTATTTTAACACACAAATAGTTGGACATAACTATGATAGAAGACTCAAGGAAGCACTCAGATGTTTGCATCTAATTATAAGGAATGAGTAAATTAGGATTTAAGAGAAGATCAGAAGCCATTCCATGAAAAAAAAAATACTAGATTAAACATTAGTGTTAGGATAAGTAATAACAGACCGAATTATTTACATAGGATACCCTATACAAGTGTTTGATGGAACGTTTGAGAATCACATTGAACTCAGGAGATCTAAATCATGCAGAATTCAGGGCTTTTGACAAACAAAATTTATTGCCAGTGTTGAAGTACAAAGACTGACAAGATAAAATTCTTTCTCTTGTGGAATACATAACCTAATAGGACAGGTAGAAAAGTAAATACCTACTTTAAAATAATATTCCTAATTACATGTATCTGTTCTCACACTGCAGTCTAGCATCTGTGGCCCAACTACAAAACCTCCCATCACCATGGCAATGAAAAATGTCCCACAAATGTCCAGAATGCCCCTCCACAAGCAGTACCACTGCCATTCAGAACTGCTGGCCTACAGGCTAGAGAACAAGCTCATTAGCGTATCAGGACCTGGCCCCAGCTTTTCTTTCCAGCCTCCTGTATGGCCACAGTGCCTAAACTAGATGTCTAACATCTATCTACAACTATTTGTAGTTCCCTAAGTTGGTTTTTCCAACAGGCTAAAAGGTCTCCTCTTCCCTTGCTTTCTGACTAACCACTCATCTTTGAGGCCTTGCAGGCCACTTTTTATAACCCTTACTACATTGTTTTTAAAGTGAGTAGTTACTTTTATCTGTCGCACTAGACTTTACCTCTTTACCATGAGGTAAAGAATTCCATCATGTCTAATATTGGATTATTATTATTATATCATTATCATTATTATTATTATTATTATTATTATTATTATTATTATAAACACTGGAACCAGTGATAGGTAAATTTAACTTCTTTGTTGAGCACCGAACTCATTTGGGCAGAAACATAACCTCCCACCCTATCACAGTCTTGATCTGTGCCATGACAAATGTCTCCTTCCCACTCAACAGCATGGACAGATTCTATAACTCTCTGTCCCCTCCAGTTTTGTAAAAACTCACTCAATCCAAGCCAACTGGTTTAAAAGCCCATCTCAGGTCCAATGAGAACTCATCTCCTCCCTTCTTCCAGCCCAAGCTTGAGCTGTGGCTTAAGGAACCTGAAGCTGGGAGGACAGTATGGTCCCTTCTATGGTTTCTCCTTCTCCTCTGCTAGTTCTCTAGAAGGTTCTCTAGAAAGGTTCTAGCTCTTCAGGGGCTGGGAACCAGGAGGAGAGCAGAGAGGAACACTAAACAAGGTAGTTATTGCAAACCACTGCTGGCTGTGGGTGACAGGCCATTCCAGCCTGTTCGGCAGAGAGCAAACTGCCACATCTCTTGTGGGGAGCGTGTCTAAATTCTCTAAAAAAACATGTTCTTAATGTTTATTTATTTTTGAGAGAGAGACAGAGTGTGAGTGGGGGAGGGGCAGAGAGAGAGGGAGACACAGAATCCTAAGCAGACTCCAGGCTCCAAGCTGTCAGCACAGAGCCCGACATGGGGCTCAAAACCCATGAGCCCCGAGATCATGACCTGAGCTGAAGTCAGCCACCCAACCGAATGAGCCACCTGGGTGTCCCTGTCTGAGTTGTTTATAAAGTCCTGTGAGGCCTTTCCACTGAGCTGTGCCCTAATGTAGATAATCCTCTTCCAAGTCACTTCCTTTAACCTTTCTAACTTCTTGAATGGGCTACCAGTAAGATGGCTGAAGCCCAGCTATCCTTTTCAGGGTCCCTTTGACCACAAGAAACGCATATATCCTTGCTAAGCCAAACAGAAGGAATACAGGCTTCTCAAATACATGCCGAGCTGAACAAATCCACTGTCCAAACAGATAATCTAAACAGGAAATGAGAAATCAGTCTCTCCTTTATGTAGACTCTCTTTGATACCTTCTTGCTTTGTTTGGGGGCAAAAGGAGGGCTAAGTACACCCTGCTGGGCTCATGACTCCCTCGCTTGAGTCATCTTATATCTTTTTTTTTTTTTTTTTAATTTTTTTTTTCAACGTTTATTTATTTTTGGGACAGAGAGAGACAGAGCATGAACGGGCGAGGGGCAGAGAGAGAGGGAGACACAGAATCAGAAACAGGCTCCAGGCTCTGAGCCATCAGCCCAGAGCCTGACGCGGGGCTCGAACTCACGGACTGCGAGATCGTGACCTGGCTGAAGTCGGACGCTTAACCGACTGCGCCACCCAGGCGCCCCAAGTCATCTTATATCTTAACATAGACTGTGAATGAGGTGGGGTGATAAGGAATGGGTAGAGTTAGTGGTTGGAAGTACCAGGGCCAGATTTGCTACCTCTCTGTAAGCCCTGGAGAGGGTGACTGACCCCAATTATTAGCAACTCTCTCTAGAACGAGTGTTACTTAGTGTTTCTTTGTCCCCATCTTTGGACCCTAGTCACCAATTCTGGGCAAAAATAAAGATTCAACTCAGTATCTTCTACAATATGCTGAAATGAACCAAAGCTTATATGAAAAAAAGCAGCTCAGCTGCATTCCAAAAAGAGGAGGCAAGGTCATCTTCTGAGCAAAAGAACCAGCAATTAAAAGTCTAGGTGGAATAAAGAAGACAGAATCAGACTGTGGATAGAACATCAGATAAAAGCCATGGATAATTTCTCCCCGGTTAAAAAAAAAAAAAGGGCACATACACATATATCACACAAAAGTTTGCATAACATTTCAGGGGCACATGGATCCCAGCTCTTCTAAAATATCCGAAGGAGCCAAAGGACCCCAGACTAACAAGTTTTAGGCTAAGAAAAAGCCAAGCAAGGAGGTAACAGTTCATTGTTTGTATGTGTAGGAAGGAGTGGTATTTAGGCAAATACTAAAGGTCAGACATTTAGGGACATGCAGACACCCAGAAGCAGTCCATGCCAGATGCCAGTTTTCTAAATGCCTCTTTTAAATGTTTAGTTATTTTTGAGAGAGAGAGTGTGTCAGTGGGGGGTGGGGGGAGAGGCGGGGGGAGAGGCGGGCAGGGTGGGGGGGAGGGGCAGACAGAGGATCCAAAGCGGGCTCTGCACTGACAGCCATGAGCCAGATGCAGGGCTTGAACTCATGAACTGTGAGATCATGACCTGAGCCAAAGATAGATACTTAACTTACTGAGCCACCCAGATGCCCCTCTAAATGCATTTTAATCCAAACTATTCTGATTATTTAACACAATTCAACTTATTTTTCAGTATCATGCCACGATATAGCCTTCTATATAGTAAATATAACAAATAATTGAGGGAGTTCAGAAAAAGGGCCAAGTATTTAATTATGCCTTAAAATATAGATAGTGGACTAGAAATTAGTAACACTGATTGTCTCCCTATGGGTAATGAGGTATCTAAGGGACAAGATGGGTAGGAGATTTTTTTTCATTATCTACCATTTTGTACTTCTTTAACTTTGTAACATGTGCAAGTATTCAAAAATTTTACTTGAAAATTCATAAACAAGTATAAAAAATATAATATTGATATAGGTTGCTTGATATTTTGGATGTTTTAAAGGAAGGCAATGGGACATCAAAGAGAAAGATGGCATTTCCTTAAATAGGAAACCCACATGATAAGTCCCTCATAACTGCACTAGGAATTTTTTAAATATTAGAGGGTGGAATGGTGACATCAGAGCTGCTACAGACTAAATGTTTGTGTCCTCCCAGATTCATACGTTGAAATCCTAACTTCCAAGGTGATGGTATTAGGAGGTGGGGTCTTTGGCAGGTGATGAGGTCATGAGAGTAAGCCCTCATGAGTGGGATTAGTGTCTTTATAAAATAGACCCCAAAGAGCTCTTTCACCCATGTGAGGACACAACAAAAAGACCACTGTCTATGAGGAAGCAGGTCCTCACCAGACATGGAATCTGCTGGCACCTTGATCTTGGACTTCCCAGCCTCCACAACTGTGAGAAGTAAATTTTTGTTGGTTATAAGCCACCAGGCTAAGGTAGTTTATTTATAGCAGCCTGCATGAACTAAGATAAGAGCTAAGAGGCTTTTCCTGAAAACCAGTAACTTGGGACAAAAAGATAATAATGAAACATTATAGAAAGTATAATCCAAGATGAGCAGATCAGTTAGGACTAGAATATTTTATAAGGAATGGGTATCAAAAAAAAAAAAAAAAAAACCCTCTCCAAACATGATTTAGATAATTTGACATATAATGTGATAAAAACAAAGCTAAGATCGGTTGGGGTATCTCTGGACCAAGAATAAAGTCATGAAAACAATTTGATTTTCCACAAAGCAAATCCTGACCAAACACCGGACAAGATGAACTGTAAGGCTGATTTAGAGTATTCCTTGAGGACTGAGGCTGATTATTAAGACACATACATACATACATACATACACAGTCGGATGAGACTAGGGCTCTAAAGACAAGTGTGATATGTATGACTGCAAGACCTCCATGTAAGTAGATGAGTCAGTCATTGTCCTCAAACACCTGCTAGGTCCCTGAAAGAGAAAAATGGAGTGGTAATGTGATGCCAGCCTCTCCCACCAAATGACAGCTGAGAACATCTCTCATCGACTCTGAGAATAAAACTGTCTAACAAAAAGGGCACAGAAGGCTGCCCAACATCTAAGTTTCAAAAGAAAAGAACCTGATGTTTTTCTTTTTAATATATTTTTTTAAATGTTTATTTATTTCTGAGATAGAGACAGAGCATGAGTGGCGGAGGGGCAGAGAGAGAGGGAAACGCAGAATCTGAAGCAGGCTGCAGGCTCTGAGCTGTCAGCACAGAGCCCGACACAGGGCTCGAACTCACGACCCGTGAGATTGTGACCTGAGCTGAAGTTGGGCGCTCAACTGACTGAGCCACCCAGGCACTCCTGATGTTTTTCTTTCAAATCTAAACTTTAACACACTAAACTGACAGGGGTCAAATAAACAAATTCCAGAATCCCCAGATCAAAACCTACTTATAAGGAAAATACATGTAAATTGTACTTTGTAAATTATAAAACACTGTATAAGTGTTAATTCTTATGATAATTACTAGGGATATTTCCTACCCAAATAATGAACTAGCCCCCACCATCGGCAGTTTGAGGTCATATTCTGGAAGGTGAAATGTTTTAAAAGAATGAGTATGTTTGTTTTTATAACATTGTGCAAAGGTTTTCAAATTTTTTCTCTCTTCATTGAAAAGAATGAGAAGAGGAGCCAGTCAGTGACACATAACTAAAAAGAGTTTAGAAACTGTTAAATTCAGTTCAATATAACACATATTTATTGAGAGGCCCTCAAAAGATACAGTTATGTCAGAATGTAGTTCCCCGCCTCACCCACCCTTAAGAAGTATACTAACTAGGAAGAGACAGACACCTATTCATGTGGCAAAGTGATTATGTGATTATGTGAAGTAGGAATGGATGTGCGAGCAACCCCAGTCAGTCCGCACTGTTTCTTATCAGATCCACTCCTCTCCCTTTCCAGTGAGGCTGGCACTCACACACTGAGTCCTCAGCATTGAGCCCCTGCTGAATTCAGTCAATGAGAGACACTGGCAGAAAAGATGGAATCAGAAGGAAGTCGGAAGCCAAAATTTTCTTCCCCTTCTCCCGGTCTCGGCCAGCACCTCTGACAGAAGCTGTGTCATGCTAATGACCCCAACCGCCCTAGGCTGGCCCTCCAAAGTTTCAGCTTCTAACTTATCCTGGCCTCTGGGGTTCCTCTCCTTGTTCCTTCAACCTAGGGATGACAGCAAAGTCTGGCTGTTGTTAATCTCCGGATTGCCTCACCTTCCCTTGAATGGTTTCTCAGCTCCTCCTTCACTTTTATAGCTAATTCTCTGGATGAAATTCCCTCTGGTTTCAGGATTTAAAGTGATTTCCATTTTCCCAGCTGGATCCTAAATGTGGCAACTAAATCAAAAGTGAATTTACTAGTGCGTGCCTGGGTGGCCCCATCGGTTGAGCATCTGACTTCTGCTCAGGTCATGATCTCACTGTTCCTGAGTTTGAGCCCCATGTCTGGGTCTGTTCTGACAGTTCAGAGCCTGAAGCCTGCCTGGATTCTCTGTTTCCCTCTCTCTCTCTGCCCCTCCCCCACTTATGTTATGTCTCTTGCTAAAAAATAAACATTAAATACAAAATTTTAAAAATAGTTTACTAGTATTAAGAGCAAAGACCGATTCCAAAATCTGCTAAATTCAAAGTTGACTACTATCAGCGTGAGTCCAGATGAGTTATGTAAAGAAGTGCAGAGACAGATTGATTTTCTACTTTTACCAAAAGAACACAGGAGAGAAAAAGAGTTCGGGGTAAAGAGAGAGAAGAGAACATTAAGGATTTCTTACTTGCCTGTCCTCCGGATCATATGGAGAAGGGGATGTTGATAAGGACCAAAGTGAATCTCTCCTTAAAATCTGGGATTAAAGAATGGACCTGCACAGGGCCAGACTAAGGCCTTTAGAAACCCAAAACACTGAAAGATTATGGTATTCCTTCCCATGCCAAAATAAATAAGATTAATCCTTTACACTTACAACGTAAGTGTATTTTTTTAAGTTTATTTATTTATTTTGAGAGAGAGAGAGTGAGAGAGAGAAAGAGCATGAACAGGGGAGGGGCAGAGGGAGAGGGAGAGAGAATCACAAGCAGGTTCCACACTGCCAGTGCAGAGCCCAATGTGGGGCTCAAACTCGAGAATCGTGAGATCATGACCTGAGCTGAAATCAAAGTCAGACACTTAACCAACTGAGCCACCCAAGCACCCCTCAAGTGTAAAGAAGTATAATAAACTCTTATTTTTTTCCAAAGTAACTTCTTTCACATTTAAAAAAAAAATATATCAAAATCCTAACCTCTATTTGGTGGCCCTGCTTTGCTGGTACAGGAAGCACACATTTAGTCTGCCCTTTGGGTCATCCAGTGCAGCCTGCCTGGTCCAAAGCTCCAGCGGCCAGCCTCTTGGTGATGGTGCATGTGTTTCTGTGTGGGCGCAGGGTGTTGAAGGCGGAGTCTCCTGAGGACCCAGGAGTGGAGAAAAGGGACTCTTAGGTTCACATGGGCCCAGAGGAGCTGTGGGATTTAGAAGTGAAGGTGAACTAGTATGCCAACCCTAAGAGTCTCTGAAAGAGCAAGAGAATGCAGGGGTCACCTCCTAGTGGTGAGGTTTACGGTGGATGTGTTTCCAAGGGGTTATCATGTATAGAAAAAGCTAATACACATCCATCAAAATCATCATCCATCAAAACCACCACTGGCCATCATCTTCTTAGAACCACCTGTGCAGGAGGAAAGAGCATGACAAGCTGTTGCAGAGAGAGGAAACCACTAAGATGAAACCAATAACAAGAGTACAAACCTCCCCTATAAGGAGCGAGCTGTGTACAAGTTCTGACAGAACCAAATAGGCAGGGAACAGGCAGGAAGCCCAGAGATGGAGCTTTGAATTGACCTGGGAGTTCTAAATCATGAATCATAGTTTACACACACACACTGAATTGAACCAAATATACTTGAAAAGTACATTAAGTTTTCTTCTATCAGCGGGGGGAAATGTCAGTTGTAAAAGCAAAAGCTAAAATCTCTGCATTTCCAAATCTGTGACTACATGATTATGTATTTATCCACTTTATGATTTCAGCTAGTGTCTAAGGTTATTAATGCCTACATTTCCATGTCCAGCTTTACTTGTCTTCAGGCTTAAGTGATTGATTCCTTCTGCCAACAATACAATCTCCACTCCTATCCCATATTTCGCATATTCGAATCCTAACACTTCAAGGTCTGGTTCAAGTTCTGCCTTCTGTAGAGAACTGCCTTTCACTTGAACCTTCATGGTGTTACATCCATCTCTACCATAGAGGCTTTCACTTTCTGCCTCATATACAAGCATTATGGGTATATCTCATTCCTCCTGCCAGGCAGTAAGCTTCTTGAAAACAGAAGACAGGGATGCCTGGGTGGCTCAGTCAGTTGAGCATCTGACTTTGGCTCAGGTCATGATCTTGCAGTTTGTGAGTTCGAGCCCTGTGTCGGGCTCCGTGCTGACAGCTCAGAGCCTGGAGCCTGCTTCTGATTCTGTGTCCCCCTCTCTCTCCGCCCCTCCCCTGCTTGTGCTCTGTCTCTCTCTTTCAAAAATGAATAAACATAAAAATTTTTTTTTAAAAAACATTTAAAAGAAAACAGAAGACATGCTTTATTCATTTTTGGATCTCCTTGGCACCTATAGTACTTGTTGATAGAAAGAACACTATCCTTCAGAGTCTAGATGATTACTCCTAAAATGATGCCTTTAAAAACTGTTCCTGAAACTCCACTTAAAAAAATTTTTTTTTAATGCTTTTTAATTTTTTTGGTGGGATGGGGCAGAGAGAGAGGGAGACATAGAATCTGAAGCAGGCTCCAGGCTCTGAGCTGTCAGCACAGAGCCTGACGTGGGGCTCGGACTCACAAGCCACAAGATCATGACCTGAGCCAAAGTCGGACGCTTAACTGACTGAGCCACCCAGGCACCCCAGGTGCCCCTTGAAACTTCACTTTTGATGCTGCCTGCAATCAGTTTGAAAGTCACTCAAGAAAATCAGTCTCAAAAAAAAAAAAAATCAGTCTCACCAATAATTATTGCTAATATTTATTTTGTGCCATATGCCAACTACTGGGCCTGAACTTTGCATCTAGTATCTCATTTAATCTGCCTAACAGTCCTCTAAGGCTGGTACTATTATAGTTCCCATTTGGTAAAGACACTGAGGCCTAGAGATATTAACCAATTGCCTAAGACTACCCAGTAAGTGACAGAGCTGGGATATGACTACTTCAGAGTCACAACTACATTCAACCAAAAACAATGTTACCCAGGGGTGCCTGGATGGCTCCGTCAGTTAAGCATCCAACTCCTGATTTCAGCTCAGGTCATGATCTCACAGTTCGTGGGATCAAGCCCCATGTAGGGCTCTGTGCTGACAATGTGGAGCCTGCTTGAGATTCTCTTTCCCTCTCTCTCTGCCCCTCCTTTGCTGGTGTTCTCGCTCTCAAAATAAATAAATAAACTTAAAAAAAAATCATAGATTTAGTTTCAAAGATGCCCAACATAGCAATGTTTATAATAATAGAAAATCAGTAAAGATCTAAATTTCTAATAGGGCATTGAATAATTAAATTATGTTACATATACATTAAAATCAGTCCATTAAACACTTTGATGTATGATATCAAACACTGCTCACTGCACATAGGTAAGTAAAAACAGAAAGTTGAAACATCTATGTCATGAGCCCAGTTTCATTAAATACACACACACAGACATACACACACACACACAGAGTAGAAACCTGGAACAATATAAATCAAATGCTGAGAATGGCTATCTCTTGGAGATAGTATGGTTTAGAATTTTATATATCACTGTATTTTCAATGATATGTATTACTTTTGTAATTAAGAAAAAAATTGAGATTTAAAAAAAAAATTTTTTTTTAATGTGTATGTATTTTTGAGACAGAGACAGAATGCGAGTGGCTTAGGGGCAGAGAGAGAGGAAGACACAGAATCCGAAACAGGCTCCAGGCTCCGAGCTGTCAGCACAGAGCCCGATGCGGGGTTCAAACCCACGAGCTGTGAGATCATGACCTGAGCTGAAGTCAGACGCTCAACCGACTGAGCCACCCAGGCGCCCCGAGATT